GGGTTGGCTGTCGGAGCGCAGAGGTCGGTTCTTTGTTAGACGGGTCCGACAATTTACAGAGCGGTTTCTAAGGGTATGGTCCGGTCCGTTGGGGCAGTCATCGTGAGTGCTGCTGACGTGTGCACCTGGTGTGTTTTGCCAGCTGAGGGATGGATTAGACTTAGATTTTACCTTTAAATACTTGATGTGTTCCAACATTTTGATTATGATTTATTATAAAATCGAACTTTTGTTCAACTTCTTGTGTTAGGATTCTTTTCGAGTTTTAGTGCAAAACCCTTGTGCCAAAAGGGCGTTTCAGTTCATCATTCGACATAAGTCTGAGTTTGGCAAGGATTAACCTCCAAGCTGCCTCAAATCGACGTCGCGTCAAGGAAACCTCCGAGCCGATCACGTCTATCGCCGAGAAAGAGGTCGTTCGCACGCGCAACTTCGAGGCAATTAAGTTATCGGAACACGCGATCTTTATCAATGCACATCACCAAGTCCACGCATGTCTCGCCCGCACGTCGCTGAGAACACCCTAGCAGTGCACACATGCAGTTGCCCACGAACTCGCGAGTTGCGCAGCCACACTCGCTAGCGGACATCTAGCGCGAGCATCCCGCTAGCGCCCCGCTAGCCCGCGCACTCGCTAGACACTCTCCTAGCAAACCCCCACGCAGCATCCGCCAGCACACCGTAGCACACCAATGCGCCGCATGCACATCTAGCTCAGCGCCCGCCTGCTGCACTCGCCCGCACGAGCTCCCCAACGGACGTCCTGCTTAGCGCGAAACCCGCTCGCCCCAATGACTAGCCCGCCAGGGACTCGCTAGGCTTGACCAACACTCGCTCACTCAAGAGACCTGGCGGGCATTTCACCCAGCCAACATTGCGCACTCGCCTAGTGAAATTTCCTTTAGAAACCTTAACTAACGAATGTGTTTTAGTAACGTGCATTTTTCTAGTATGTATTTTGAGTGTTTGTATAAATACACTTGTTCATTTGTATTTTGAAAGGCATACCTCATTTGCTTAGTTTTCCAATATGGGAATTCTTCTTTTTCGTATTTTCCTCTCTAGGCTTTGTGGAGGTTCAAATTCACATTTTCCACTGACTTTTTCTGATGATGTTTTTTAGTAAAGTTCTGATCTCTTCACATCCATTTTGCTCGGGAATGCATTAGGAAAGTAAGTACTTAGTTTTAAGACTTATTATCTCGATTTTGCCCTACTTTTACTTACTTTGTGTTAATAGGTAAAAGTAGTTTTTTTGTCATAATTTGCGTGGTAGGTTCTATTTAGTTAAAGATGCTAACTTTTATTTTATCTTACTTATCTAGTGTGGTTGGTTAGTTAAAGTTTGAACCTTTTGAGGTAAAAATCGAGAGTTGGTTTAGAGGATGGTTAATTCTTAATTAATTGTTCGACTTTTAGGTTCTAATTGTGTTAGGTATGGCTCTTTTCTCTTTGTTTGTATCTTTTTGCGGGTTTGAACACTCCGATACAAGTAAAGGTTAGAGCTTACTTCCAAGCTTGCTCTTGTAGTTAAATTCATTTCAAGTGCTTAATTAAAATTAGCACTAAAACCAACCCCAATCAAGTGCTTAGACAATTACTAGTATTCGAAGTTTCGAATCACCTTACTCAGAGAATACGACCCGAAGGAGATCGTTGCTCGTACTGGGCAAAAAACAACTTTAACACCTTACCCATTACATACACATTGTGTTATTTTCTCAGCTCATTTCAAGTTCGTCAGAGCTTCAATTTAGCACAACACGCATATACCG